GCCGAGGCAAATCAATCTCCTCTTGGTCCATGCGTGCTTTAAGATTTTAGAGTAGTTACCTATTTGGAGGCAGGCCTTAGGAAATCAGATTTTGGCATTATGAGAATCTAACCGCAGGTCCTGGTTGAATGTGACTCAACTGCTAGCCGAGGATGTATTTACAACCATTATTTTAAAAGATTTTCGCATTTTTATTTGTTTTAAATCTCACTTAGGCACAAAGAAAAAAGACAATCGAGTTCCAAAAGTCGTCTATTTGTGCAGGGTGAGACAAAGCTGGAGAAGCCTTTGAGTGGAGATTAATTCGAAAGAAAAAAAAAAGTGCCTATTTTTACCGCTTGCGATCGGCCGAGAACTACCTAGGTTTTGATTTTGAAACAATAAAGCAAGCCGCGTCGATTCTGACTCTGCAATATGTTCACGTTCACCGTTCGCGTGGAGCTGACAACATGACAGTGCATCTTGGCTGATATCAGATCAAGGACATTTGTTTCTCAACGTGACTAGAGGACACGCACTCGCACGTAACACTTACAGGGAGCAGATATATCCGAGGATCTGGCTCTTTAGCGGCCATCCTCCGAAGCGCTTGTATCACCCATTCATCGATGACTCCTCAGCTAACATCTTTTTTGGCACACCTAGCACTAGCGATAATCTTAACAACTGTAAAACACGCACAGCCCTCCTAAGACGTGTACCAAAGTATGCACTTGGCAACTTCTAATTGGCACCACAACTTACTCCTCACACGCCGAATAGACGAAATGAAGTTTTACGGGCAGGTTTACCATACCACAGTCTCCGACAACTTAAGGAATGCAGGGCGTCGCGCCGTCCCCGATCGTGTAACGTTGTCGCTCCTTGGTCAAGGAAGTTGCAGCACTATCCGATGGGAACGCATAAAAAAAAACTCGTGCAAAAAGCATAGACACGGAAGCCTCGCCCTGCGTTTCTTATACTGTCGATGACTATGCGAAACGCAAGTTCGTCTGCTTCTTGCTCGGGAGTGGCGGTGACGTTAGTACCACGCCGAGCTTCCATTGGCTTTGATCGAAAGGGCAGCGAGTAGACCCCAATGCCAGAAACCTCGAGGTCTACCGACTCTTTCTTTTTTCTTCATCCAGCCAATAATAAGAGTTTGGCGTTCCGACATCGTTACAAACCCCTTACGCAAAAAGAAGCGGACGAACTTGCGCTCCGTATAGGGACCGTAAGCTGCCATCCTCGTGAACGTTCACCAGGTCTCCCCGTGGCTCGTGGGATTCTACACCCTGTTCCACGCCAAGTACGAGCACAGCCGACGTTACATGATCGGACGAAGCCAATCAAGCAACGTCAAAAAGTACATCGTCATGACACTCGCATTTTCTTTTTTTTTTGTGGGCAGAAATGTTAAGAATGTTGAATTCTCAAGGACGTATACACAAAAAGAGCACTAAGGCACTTGGTACAAGAAATTGGGGATTATCGAACAATCTTAATTCACTCACGAATTCACGAAACAAAAAGAAATTCTTCCCGATGATTCAACATACTGAAGGAAGAACAACTTCACAATCTGCGCTTGACATACATGGGCACAACACACTGACACATCTTTTTTTTTCGCGTGTGAAAAAGAGCAGATACATAAACAAATGAATGAGCTAAATTTGGCCTCAAGGAGCCAGCATAAAATAGATATCGTCGAAGACTCCCGAGAAGAGATGACATGTTTGTGAGGGTCAGATGCGCTTCAAGAATGAGTTGTCTGGCAGATTAAGACTTCAGTTATGATAACTGTTAAGATCATAAGCTCATCCTTTTCAAGCATTCGCACCTGGTGTTATTTAAGGAGCTTGGTACGCACGGTTCATCCATTTTACGACAGCGAGAATGAAGGCGGCCGCTTTCAAACTTTTGTCGTCGTACCTGTTTATGCTAATTACGAAGGAGCGCATCTTAGTGGGTGTCTGAGCGTGTTTCGACGAACAGCTCACTCTAGGAGCGCTGTATTTTATTGCCGTAAGAGATGTTTGTATATAAGATTCACAGTCTGCTCGATCAATTTAAGTTTAATAATAATTGTGTGCCACCTCAAAAAACGAAAAAAAGAACAAGTGTATAGTAAAGTGTACTTCATAAATAAGAAAACATTTTTTTTCCTTTTTTCTTCGCTCTAAACGCCTGAGATGGGAGGGCTACACAATAATTTCAGGGAAATACAACAAGTTTCCGTAAAGTTATTTTAATTTTGATACTTTGTTTTAGCACCACACACGCTGGTAAAGGAGCTGAAATGTGCGTAAATATACATGCGCGGAACGACTTCACTTCCGACCGATCCCTTGGATATTTCTTAAATTTTTTGCGCGCGCCTCATCCAAACTACGTATCTTTCTCGAGATTTAAATAATTAAAACCCTAAACTTGGTACGCTCTTCATTTACCCAACCCGTTGGCATCAGACTGTTTTTGGCACTGAGTACTTCATTTTTATAACACTTTTGTATGAATAACTTAGGAGGACATGCGCTACAGCGAAATCTAAAGTTGGTAAAAATACCGCCCCTTACCACTAATTGAAAATTATCATTTCCTCCAGTCACTGATTGTTTAAAGAGCGCGGGACGTGCCGAGCCCTGTACATCTTATTTTCGTCCAGCAGCCGATCAGACTGTGGCATTAGCCGATAAGAACTTTGAGTAACCGATCACAGAGTAAGAATTCTTAAAATCGATCACAAAGCAACGTTCTGCGTTTAATAAGGTATCAGTGACTTCAGCGGGGTATTAATTTTCCAGCTGTAATGAACGCGAAGTGAGTGTAGCCGAATATTAGAAGCATCCGAAGACGCAACGAGTACGTGCGTTATATATTGTCGAAAAAACTTTGGATTTTTTTTTTTTTAATCTTTAGCGACATTTAAAACTTAACAACACAGTAGTTGAATATATGGCTTAACGAGGAACTTTAACTGCGTTTGTGGGGATGACCTTGCTTTGTTGGGTTGGTGTGGTTGTCTCTTGGCAACCAGCTTATTTCATGGTTATCACATAAAATGGGCAATGTGTATGTACAAAAAAAATTAACATTTCACGAGTTTCTTTTGTTTTTCGAGTAGTCTGGTTGTATTGGTCGCTTTGAATAACGTATATTTCACGTGTAAACGTTATAAAATGTCAATGGCCGATTTGTCAGCAAACAAGTATGAGTAATGCGCGTCCTGACTTTATTAGTTGGCACAAATAAAGCCTTATGCATTAGTTGCGTTACAAAGTTGTTGATTTTTTTTTTCAAAATGGTTTGGAAGATGGGTGTGTCTAAAATATAAAGCATAGAACACAATGAAGGGTTTTACAGGAGCCATTCTACACCGTGACCATAACGCAATAAATTCGGCACACTTAAGACTGTTAACGTGTTTTTTCCTGCATGCAGCGCATTCCTACAAGCAGCGCGCCACCTCTTCCTTTTTCACATGGCGCACCGTTAGTGACATCACCCTCTCGCACTGCGCAGTCGTAGCGCCCCCTCGGGCTCCACGGCTTCCGTGACGATGCATCTGCGTCGCTGTGCTTTCCTTTGTGTTTTATTTTTGAGCTTTGACCTTTAGCGCCCGGACGGCTTCCGTCACGAAGCATCTGATATGAAGCGTCGTAGCCAATACTAATCCCGCTTGTCAGTGTCGTATTTCTGCTAAGGAGGGTTGCAGTCAACACTGTCTTCGCTCCATGGGAGAGTTAATGTTTTTGAATTAATATAGGGTAGAAATTCGTGTCGCTGTTCAGTCCACATTGATACTATTTGTCACAGAACAACGATTTCAAACAATATCTGAACATAGCTGTTAGGTCCTTTTGGCCCTAACTTATGTCTTCTGCGCGATATGCTAATAACTTAGGTCCTAACACATCACGCAAGAACGTCCACCTAATATTTATGAATTTCCTACCAGCGGCTGCAGAATATTTTGCGGGTCTCAACAGGCTTGAAAGCAAACAATTCCTGTTCTAAAAATGAAAAAAAAAACTTGGCGATTGTAGAAAAAAAAAATTGCAAGCATCATTCGCGTATCAGTCGAAAAGTGTCAAGGATCCTAAATGAAAAGAGTTTGATTAGCACGCACAATCGCAACACCTCCTCTTCGAAGTTGATTGAATGCCGAAGGCGCACCCAGGAGAACACTCTGTTCCGAGTCCTTGACCAGGATGGTGTTGCTGGAACGTCTTTATTGATTGCGCCAACACAGTTCCTTGCAGTCTCGGAGTTCATTTGCTTCCACACCACAAAACGCAAGATGTGCCCTCATAAAAGAAGAGGGTTGAGTTGGCGATAGTAGAACGCTCGAATAGACAAACCAGTCGGGATGAATGCGTGGTGCAGTAACCCTAATTTACAAACCAAGATTAAACGAAAACTGCCGTGCTGTTGTGTGGAGCTGTTAGTGAAGAAAGGTCGATCTACATGCGCGACCAAGTATTGGCACTGGTGGTGGGGAGAACTACTGCGCAGTATTGTATAGCACTGCTAAACCCGCTCATAACCCTCATTGACATTTATTGAGACACCTAAACGATGTTTGTAAATGTAGATGACTCGGGCAAGTCGAAAGAAATAAATGTAAAAAAAAAAAAAAACGACTAAGACTAGTTCCTCTAAACTGCCTAACGCTATGACGTATAGTTCATGGAAAGCTTTTACCACTGCCGCCGCGCGCTTTAAACGCTAAGAGCTACCGTCGACTAGTCCCAGTTTCCACAGCTCCACAACGCTAAAATTCACACAACTCTTCCGCACCTTCTGTAGGTTGTTGTCTCTGCTGTACATTTTCGCTTCAGCTTCAGCCACTCTATATTCTTCGAATAATCAGCTCTTGTAGACCGCTGTTAATATTATTTGGAAGCAACACATTGTCACGGCGGTCTTCGATACCCACAGCTCTCTTAGCACCTTTTGTAGAATGTTTTTTTTTTTTCTTCGCTCCAGGCCAAGCCGCACGCTGTAAACTCGTTTGCTTCTTGCGTTCTTCACCGCTTTTTTTTCTTTTGGGGGACATTTCCCCTTCCCCCGTTTATTGAAAAATTTTATAGCACGAAAAGGATCAAAATACGCGTAGTTCCCTGCGACGAACTGGACACGGGGCCTGAATGGCAGTGCAGGAGTTGGACGCAGCAGGCGCTTTCTCCGAGAGCCCGTTACCGACGCTGCGGCGCTGCCGTCCTGACCGCTGTTGTCAGAAGACCGTTGAACCCTAGCGACGTCTGGAAGAGAGAAAGAGGGGCGGGGAGGGAAGGTGACGCTGCGACGCGGGCCGCGAAGGAACACGCTGCGACGAGCCGCCTTCAGCTCCCGCGGTAGCTACGCGACCAAGTGCGGTGCCGAGAAAAGGCACGCGCACGTGGAGATGATGGTGAAGCCCGAGAACACGATGAGGCACACGCGATCGACGACCATAGCAGCGAACTTCCACTCGCCGACGATCTCCTTCTCTTCCTCGTCTTTGCGCATGCGGCTCGTGATGAACCGCAGTTCTCGCAGGATCGAGTTTAGCTCCCTGGACGAGTGGACGCAGGCGTGAACTGTGGACGCTCCTCCGGCTGGCCCCATGTCCTGACCGAGGTAGGAGCGGGCGCCGGCCGCCGAGCGGCAGTCGGTGTGGCCGCCCAACATGGCCGCCGATGAGCTGTTGGCCGTGCGGAAGTCGTCGTCGATGTCCAGCACGTTGGCCAGCAGGCTCCGCGAGGACCTCTCCTTGAGCTCGAACTCCTTCATCTTGCTGTTCAGGAAAAGGCTTCGACGGCCTGGCTTCTGGCCGGGAGGCTCCATACGTAGCAGCCAAGGAAGCCAAACCAGGAAAACTGTCTTGATCTGTAAAAAAACGCAGTGCGGTCGCTTTTCCTTTTCTGCCGTGGAGATATTATTGCGAGCAAAAGACATTTAGCTAATGGCAGTTTATTCGACGAAGCGTTCAAGTAACGTTCGGCGAAAGGAGGTCCCTTCCTTTTGGCTCCATCTGGCCGCGTGCGAAAGAAAAGTTCCGAGCGTGTCCAACTGGGGCCCGATTGGCCCGATGCGCCTGCCGTGCCTTTGCACGTATACAGACCGTCATATCGGCTCTTGCTGGCGATGTTTAATTCTCCGATTAATCTCTCGAACATTTATAAGCACATCTTTGCTACTATTTTTTGTTCAGCCAGCTTCTACATAGGCATGATCATGGTGGAAGGAGAGAAAAGCCCTTCGAGGCGGCCAAAGTTTGCTGGTGCTTCGCTCCACTCCGGCAGGGGGCACTATCGATATAGGAGCCTTTGCACAGGCGCGGTCGCGGGCGGCGAACCCTTGAAAGCGCGCTCGAATAGGAACAGTTCCTCGAGTGGCTCCCATCGGCGCCCCTGGTGCCCGTTAAGATGCCTCTGGGCCAGAGCTGGCCCCAAGTTACTGTTATCTTTCAAGTACGTCGCATCACTAACCGCTCTAAATGATACGGCTGAAATGTTGTGAATTACATTAGAAATCACCACAGAAGACAAGTAATAAATTACAATTTCAAATTACTTAGAAAAAGTCAGGACATACATTATAACTCTCATACAAAAATGGGCAATTGATACTTTCTTGCTAGAGATCATTATGTTCACAATAGAAATATTCTATCTCCATAAGCCGCAGTTTGAAGCTTGTCACACCGGGTTTAAAGAGCAGCGAAGCTGATCGCGAGGAAAGGGAGGTAAGCTTGTGAGGCTAGAGGTATGGCTGACAATTACTAGGGTTATTCCAAAACTTTAGGTGATTTACTTATTCGCTATGCCTGGACGTTTAGGACAGGTGGAATAGATACGGTTGCCTGATTTGTTTTGTCTACCCCCACGATACCGAAGCGAACAAGAGACCAGCAGCTGCCCAAATTTGATGTAAAAAAAAAGAAACAGGAAAACATGTTGATTTTTTTTTGGGGGGGGGGGGGGGGGGGGGTGAAAGTTAACCAAATGCCGCGTTGGTAGTTGATCTATCATGAAACTCCTCGGCCTCAGCCTCCATTCCTGCACTTACCTCCTTTCCAAAAAAAAGAAAAAATCTGGATTTTTTTTTTTTTTTTTTGGGGGGGGGGGGGGGTGGGGTTGGGTTGGGGAGGGGAGGCCAGCCTTGCGATAGAGGCGACGTAGCTGTTTCGGGAACGAGGGTTGCCCCACTAAATTCTCGTAGCTGCTCCAGCTTGCTTTTTTTTTTTTGCTTTTTTTTACTATTGTGTGTTTTAGTGTGCTTCACCAACACTTCAAAGCTTCCAATTGGCATAGTGCTTTCTTTTTTCCGTTCATCAATCGTGTCCATCAGTCACATAGTACCTTTCTCTTGATATATATTTTTCCCTCACCCCCCCCCCCCCCCAGCCCCTAATCTTGCGTTATCTGTGTTTTTTTTGTTTTTTTTTTAAAGAAGTTGCCCTTGGCTTTTTGTATGCGCTCAAGAATATACCTGAAACAAACAAAAATGTAATTTTGAATATTCATTACCATTACGGCGCCAGAGTAATTTATTACCTTACAAAAACTACACATATGTAATGTATTACACTACTCATTACTGCATAACTATTACTGTGACTTAATTACCGTAATTTCATTACTGCCACCTCTGCTCTGGACATGTTGCGTCATCTCACGGCGTTTGCGAGAAACGCGATTAAACTTTCACCGCGCTTGCACCCAGGCAAGCTGAAGTCGTTCATCTACTAGTCTCTTCTTCCACCGTGGTCATAACCACATGCATCTGTGTGGTACACGTTCATTCGCAAGCTGAAATAGCAGCGTACGCTTCGGCAGCCACTCCGACGAAGCGTGCGCTGCGATGATGTTTCATGATGAAATAAAAAGCGAAAAAAAAAACCTAGATAAAAAGAGGACACGTACTACAGACAAGCGCTCGTCTCACGTACGTGTCGCCTTTTTTGTCCTCGCGTTTTGTGCACCTTTTATTTCATCATGAACCACTACCAACTAGCCCAGCTTTCTACCCTGCTGGGACAATGTTTCGTTGTTTTTTTTTTGGCACCTTTGTTGTAGCGCGCTCTTCGATGGTTCAGTCCTACTTCGATGTTTGCTATGAACTATAACTGTCCGCGTTTCTGCCATGATGAGGGGAGAGTTTCATTGCCGAAACGTGTTTGTTAGACCATGTTAATTGTGAAGCTATCGGGAAAAGATGAATAAACCAACGTCATTATTGCATTCCAAGACAAATTGGTGACGCTGTAATAAAAGGCCAAACGAGATCATACCGGACTGGACCTTCAGCTCATCCTAACAATGTAAAAGCAATTCATGATCAAGCTATGCGGAATCGGATGTCGTAACCGCTGTTCACTGTCTCTTTTACCATCACTTTTGCGAGTGGCGGGCTGACAAATAGTTGAGACTGAGTGCCGTTTTTGGTAGTTATTTGAGTAAGAACTGGAGCCTGTGTTTAACCAGCTTGGCTACCGAAGTGATGAATAAGTCCGGCGTAGGTGCGGAAATATTTTGATCTATTATTATTCGTTTTTTATATGTGTTTTACCGCCTTCCTTAGACGCCTCTGATCTCTACATTTTCCGCCATGCGCTGAAAAATATTTCCCAACGAAGACACTGCACCACCACCACCAGACCTCCAGTGGGTCAACCGTAATGATTCATCCGTTGGGGCAACCGATCCATTCCGTTCAGGAGCCTACTATGTTCTGTTTCAATATATTTTTGCAAATGGCGAATGAGTGGTCCGAAAAAATAACCTGTTTAATAGGCTCTGTCATCAAATAATTCTTTGGGCTCAACGAATATCCATTGAACGCAAAGGAATGCACGCACGCACACACACACACCGACGCACACACACACACACACACACACGCATACAAACACACAAAAAAATAACATAAACAATCCCTTATACCGCGTATTTCAAACCATCCAACCATCTACATAAAGTACCAACTACTCCATAATCAAAAATCAAAAATCACTATTTAATTTTTTCGTCTTACACGAGTACAACTAAAACTTTCGAATTTTCTTAGGAGGCGCCGATCTGCTTACGTAAGCGTTTTGGTACGAACGGCTCTAAAATATAAACTTGAAAGAGAACCACAAAGTTGACAATAGTTACCACCCGTTAGTAACCTACACCAAAAAAATCGAGTCGTAAAAAAACCCTTAGGGGTTCTGCTTGTTTCTATTTTTCATCCTAAAAAGATATTATTTTATGCACCCCCTCAAAGGGTGCTTTGTGAAGTTCCTATAAGGGGCACTTTTCAGCTACTTTTTTGATGCGAAAAGGTTCTTCATCGCCCAGTTGCCTTTGTAGTACGCCAGGCGGCGATAGTGCCTGAGGCCGAACCGTTCTTCACGAGCTGAAAGAGTTCTTGAGGCGTCGGAGGCTCTTCCATAAACGAGATTTTTTTTTTTTGTGTACACTCTAAAAAGTTTGTTCTTGAAAGGTTCTTCGAAGCTCCAACATCTCTTTCAGCTCGTGAAAAATGGTTTCGTTTCAAGCACTATCGCCCCCTGGCGCACTAGAAAGGCAACTGGGCGATGAAGACGTCTTTCGCATCAAAAAGAAGCTTTAAAGGAGCCATTATTGCTTCTTCACGAAATACCCCTTTTAGGGGTGCTTAAAATAACTTTTTTGGGTGCCATATGAACAAGCAGAAGAACCAGTAATAGTTCTTTTACGACCAGATGTTTTTATAATGTACGTTAGGGTCTATTTAGTTTGGTTACTTCGCTTAACACTGACACGAGTACGAAGCAATAAAAATAACTTTAGTGCACAACTTACGTGGACTACAAATTAAGAATTGAGTTTCGCGTGGTGCTGCGAGCAATGTTTTTATATTTACTGTGTTGAAACAGAAATGAAAGAAGATGTTATGGCTTTATATTTAAACCAACGAATCAAATCAGCCGCACCCCCGGCGAAAGCCTGAGGAACAGCTTAGACAAATTAGAATTCTCTTATATTTCACTGAAATCTTCACCACTGGAAAATTATTAGATAGCGGGCACCCCCGCAGTGAGCACCCCCGCAGTGATTTGAACCTGCTACTAAAGCCACGGATTTTTTTTTATTGAAAATTACTGAGATGGTCACAAGGGCTTTAAATACGTTTTCATCATCGTTTTATGAGAGCCCTCTTTCATAACCCATCTGTTTTTTACAGTGATTTTGTTGGTACCATCAGCTACAGTGTGTTTTTTATTTAGGTAATAATTTCAGGAATGTTAGTGAGGCTAGGTCAATGTTGAAGGTTCTTCCGCTGGATATCATTCATTTCTCAAGTAGGCTATACGTTGTTCGTACAAGGTAACCCATGTACCTACTTTAATGTGATGTACGTCCAATATACGAGAACCAGAATTTCAGAACTTACCACAGCAGGCATTTCGGTTGTTTCTTGATTTCGATGATGGTAGTTGAGCACCACCACTGTCATGACCACAGAGAACGCTACCATGATCATGATGCAGGCGAAATAAGTTCCTGTACGCGAGCGAATAAAACCCACTGTTAGATTATATATTGTAATTATACGCACAAAACGCAAACAGTTTTATCTACCCCTAGTCCATAGTATATGCTTACAAATACCTCGGAAACATCGCGAACATCATGGCGACAACAGTGTTGGAACCGCACTTCGTCCAGGACAACAACAGTGCCATATGGTTGCAATAGACGTCCAGTTTTACCGAAATTTCGCAGTATGTAAGTTGCCTTATATTGTTCCACGAGACGTAATGTTTACACCTTAAGATGAGGCCTCTTTCTAACAGCTCTATTTGTGGTAACTTTGTGCTAAGATAAACGATATGTTCGCGGGAGTGTTCCTTCCGCTCAAAAGAGGTGAAAATCATGATCAAAGTAAAGATTTTATTGTTGTTAGGATAAATGTTTCCAACACTTTAAGGTATCCGGAATGTCTACTTCCCCGCAGAGCACCATGGAGATGTGGCGGAAGCTTAGTAAATTACGAGGCTAAAAATGTTTAGACCTGAAAAACTAAGTTTGTGCATTACATTGACTGTAACGGATCGGACATTTGTATGTGCCGACTGTTTGTTGGGCCTAGAACATATTTTCCTTTTCTTCATCCTCCGAGCTCCACCCACAACCTCCAGCGATTCGCTCACCAAAGTGCTCTGCAAAAACAACGGATTTTGTCAGTGTGCATAACATAGGTTTAATATTTTGAGGCGCTTCTAATGTTTTGGTTTCTATTTATAACCAGTGTTTAAAATTCTAGCTGTTAGGCTTGTTCAACGACAACTCCTGCCTCAGTTTTTGGTTAATTGTGACGCTGCGTAATGTTTTACGAATGTCGCCACGGCGTTTATACCAGTGTACGAGGGTGGGTGTAATAACCTGTGGAAAGACGGAAGGAACGCTGCTCCCATATATGCATATAACATTTTTAAAAAAGTAAGGACGCTGTTGCTTTTCGGCATTATTTTTTTACGGACCAACACGTTTGTCTCTTGTGTGGCAGCGACTCTGAAATGTCCTAGACTGTGTAAAGCAGCTGATCTTAAAACGCCGATGTAAAGTCGGGTATCCTTCACTCTATAAACTCGGTTGCGTCTACTCTCCCGTAAACACTGGGAGAACCAATCGCCGGCAATCTACGAAGGGAACTCGGAGAATGACAAGGCTGAAAACATGTTTCACCCTTTCCCCCCTTTCCCCTTAAAAGAAAAGAAAAACTCAGCACATTCAACATTACGTACTCAAGCGAAACGTCTTGCTCAGTTTTCCATAGAAGACTGCTTTTTCTTTGTTAGGTCTGGAGCTATTTTAGCCTCGTAGTTCGGCGAGCCCCCTTCATCAATTGCGGCGATGTGCTTTTCGAAGGGCTTTACGTGAAAGCAGACCATCCAGAACTCTCAAAGTATTCTACAAGGGGTACCTGACTTTCGACAACTTGGTTCCATTTTGCGGGAAATAGTTCAACGGAATTTAATATTTATCAAATGTCTGTATGCAGTAATATACCAGAAAGGCTATTGCCAATTGATAGGGATGAATTTGAAATGCCAACCACTAATTAAGTATTATTGTACGCTTAACTGTACAAGAATACTTAATTAATGGCTGGCAATGTAAAGTCCTTCCAAATAAAAGAGACTCAAAAGGAAACGAAAGAGAAACAACATATTGAGCTTTTTATAACATATCTGCACATTCTATGCACCCTCTGTTTTTTGTATTTTTTTACTTTTTTGTGTTCATTACAATCTTCAATTCTACCATGCACACGAAAAAAAATAACACTAGCCGTTAGAAACCGACCTGTGCATAGAATGGTAATTGCGATGTTGACCGCAGATTATAGCTGGCCGCCAGTATAGGGCTATGCATTTTACATCCTTCAAATTTCCCGTGCGTCGATTTTCTCACATTTGCACTCAAAAATGTCCGCTGCCATCCATTCTTTTTAGCGTTTTGAGCTAGAATGACAGTGGGTAAGTGACTATCGCCTTCTACCGAGAAGTTGGGCGAATGACAAGGACAAATATGTATATATGTCGAGACCGAAACGTTAAGTCTCCGTAAGCATAGCGCGTCCGCGTTTCGAGCCTCTACGGCATGCTTAGCGTCAGAACGCAAAGTTCATTTCTAGGTCTGAACATGTTTTTTGCCATGTCATTGACAAAGCTCCTTTTTTTCAGGCTCGTAATTTTATGAATTCTGTTATAGTAAAGTAGTGGACACAATCACCGCTGTATTTATGCAGACGTTTACATTCGTGCCTCATCAGAATTCAGCTATCGGCATTAACAAGCATGAACCAACCAGCTCTACAAAAGCACGTAACGCAGATGTATTAGTAACTCGCAGCGATTGGCTTATCGAATGATATGAGGGAAAATCGACGCACGGGACGTTTATTGATATGCTACCATTTACTCACGGGACAAACAAAATTATGCACTTCATTGCAGGTCTATATGAAACTTGTAGTGCACTTGTCGACCCGTAATAAATTAAGTCATCCTCAAATATTGTCAAAGCCTGTTATAGACATACAATACAAATGTATAAACAAGCGATATCTATAAATGCGGCGTATACAGTGATTTGTTTTGTTTTTTTAATCTTACACTCTTGTGTACAACAAACAAAAAACTCCATGAAACTGCATTATTGCGGTTTGCGCAGCAGAGTTATAGGACCTGGTGGTCAATATATAGGAAAATATTCGCCACGATAAGTCGGTTATTTTATTAATTTTCGTTAATTAACCTCCGAATTAACAGAGACAAATATATCATTCCGAGTCGAAACCTTCTAAGCGTCATCGAAAACGACTAGAGTATATTATAGAAAGATTTGGCGCGGGTGGGAAGAGTGTTGGTGCCCCAAAAGTCACCACACGTGCAACAGGTGCAAAGCTAGTGGTGCGAAAGGGCGCCCGCACGGTTTACCCGTTTCTCGATCATCATTCACGTTTACTCACCACAAGCATCCCGACGGTTACCCAAATGGTAACTTTGGCGCACCGCTGAGCCTCCCACGCACCTTGCATTTTTCTCAAGTGGATCGATTTAGTGATTTTCGATGACACTCAGCGAGTTTTTATTTGGAATCGTACATTTATTTGCCCTAATAGATTTTTTTCAGGTATATATAATTTACCTATATTAAGCATTCTCTCTCTATATTATGTCCTCTTGGTCGTATAACGCCCCTGCGCAATTCATATTGCTGTATGTTTCACAGCTGTTTTTAAAAAAAAACAGTTTTGTAAAATATAGAAAAACACCCTATTAGCACTTAAAAAAACGGGGCCAATAACTGTGAAACTCTAGTGACTATAACCCCGTAACTATATAAATTGAGGTCGTTACTTACGTTAACATCGAACCTCAGTCTTATACACTTCTGGCAGCACAAGGACAGAGCAAACACAAGGAAACACACGGCATGCCATAATGGAGAGGGAAACAGAGGGAAATGCGCATTACAGCAACAGTAGGCGTGCAACAAAGCCCGTGCAGAAACGCCAGAGAACTTTGTGCGGCGGGAAAGCAGTGCATAGCGTTTTGTTTAGGTACACTATTTAGAGCTTCGTTTAAATGAGCGAAAGTCGATACTTAATTGCAAAGTTACAAAAAGCGAGTCACATCAAGCTCCTACACCGAGTTTAGTGAGCGGGACGCTCAGGTGCTTTTGCATCCGGGAAAAATAGAAACTAGAAGGGTCGAATTGACCCGACTTCCCAGGAGTTTACGAAATGATAATGATAACATTAATAAACACGCGAGCTGGCTTAAGCTAAGCCTAGTTAAAAATAAGAACCATTTGAGTCATCTCCTCTTTTATCTATTTATGAGAGGGTAATTGTGTCCAATTCCCAGCGTTGCTTAGCTTGCCAGCAATGGTTATTGCTTTTGAATATTTTGTATTGCCATTCTTTCATGTTATGAGCAGGGATTGATAATATGAATGGCAAGTGGGACGGAAGTTGCACTAACGAGCAGCAGTTTGAATGGAGCATAGGAAAGCAAAACAAAAACCATTTCTTTCATTTGTTGGTTGTCTTCGTGCTATATGGTTTGGAAAAGGGGGAACCTTTATGGTTATTTGTGACAAATTGTATTTGATTAGTATTCTTATCGTATGTATCAACGTACCAGTAGAGTGTCGCCAAACTCGAAATCGCAAGACAAATAGATACCTTAAACACAATACGTTAATTGTAATAAAAAAAATCACAAATTTGGTTTAAAAAAAACGAAAACAAATGCGTATTTCTAAGGTTGCTCCGAGTATATTATCTATTGAAAATCATTACTCTTTGGAAGTCCATAACACGTGCTTATAAAACAAATGTTTTAAATGAGGGCTGATCCAGCAATGAAATATGTTTCAAACTCTTTGTTTTTGTCCTTCGCTCTAAAGAATTTAAATTATATTAACACAGATTTGTTTTTCAATATAAGTGTGCATTTTTAGATTCGCTGGATTATGTAAAATGAATATCTTTATATTGCATAATTTCTCCTCGAGAGGCTACGTTAATTTTAAATATACACCGGCTTTGTATCTAAGTTTATATACATATCTCCGGGAACGAAAAATATATACACGATACATTCGTTAAATTCCATAAGCTGGGACTTTATTCCGAGTGTAAAGTTTAAGAAACAGGATGGGGCTTAAAATATTATAACCCTTGACGCAACGCAAGAACTTGAAGTAACCTATATCGAATTCTCGTTCAAAAAAAAAAAACAGTGCAAGTAAAGAAAAAAGAAGCTTTGCCGATCGTTATTTAATAACGCACTTTGGTGGTACCCAAGTTTTATGGATCATATTTTCCTGTTTACAGCAGAAGTTTGGCCACGGAAGCAAGCGCAAGAGTTACTAGAGGCGCACATGCAGCAAATATCGACTTGAAGGCGTGTTGGGTGCCGTACACTTCTACCTATTGAGCTGAAGGATAAGAAAAAAAATTCTCAAAGAAGTTTTGTTGGATGAGGTCGTCGAAGTTTAGATAAATTTAAAGCAGGAATTTACAAGTGAGCGAAGCACGCCACAAAAGCCTGGTTTACATTGAATGAACCTCTCCAAGCGTGAATTCTTAAAACCAAGGCCTTTAACTCACAAGGTTGGTGTTTTTTCTCATTGAGTCAGTCAAATATATTATATTTACATAACCATGTTCATTTATGCTAACGCATCGGTTATATTAAATTACCGAGAATATTTTTTAGTCGGCATCAATCGGCAATTTCTGTGCAGTGGATGAGAATTGGTCAAAGAGCGACATGGAGCCACGTGTTTGAAAGTATTGAGCTTATGCTCTGTGCACAATTTAAGGCTTGCATATTATTGTCTTAAATTTTCCGAATGAAGAGTGATATGCCAAAAATTTCCCGGTAGGCAAAAATAGATATTTAACCTCGCGCTTTACCTTTTTGCTATAGAATACCAGTGTACTTTTTTCTACAGCGTAAAGTGGCAGAGTTTTCAGTATTAAATATGGAACAAATTGTTGCACTTTTTAAGGAGCGCCATATTATTTGAATGAAAATAACACAATAAGGCACTTAAATCGAACTGCTAAGTACTTAGGAGCTCTTGGCATTAATTCATACTTTAGATCTTATCCCCACAAAAATTGCATGGATGGCTTGGAGTATGGCGTTCTAATAAAAGCCAGTAAACTAAAAGAAATTCTTTAAAAACTGTTTTTCATTTTAGGTAACTAGCCTAATATGGCTATTTACTGCCATTTGTTTGTATATCCTTTCTTTGGAAACTACGGAAAAGATTTCATGTTACGGTTAGGAGCATGCACTTTAGCAAACGTTTACGTATACAGAAAGTCAAATGTCGGGACCAAAAAGCACACCAAGTGTCACTGGAAACTATGTACACCTGGGAGCGTAAATAGATATTTCACTGAAAATAATCGGCCCATTATATAATTTTTTTAACTGATAGATTAGCACCAAAAAAAAAGATCAAGTTGACATCGGCTATTACAACACAGTCATGAACGCTACCTCGGCACCTAAAAAGTAAATGCATAAGCAGTGTTATAATTGAAATTATAAGTACAACTCTTCAAAATTAAAGTCATAATTGAAAGTAGAAATAAGTACTTTTTTGGAGCTCGTATTATTTAGAACTATAGTTTAATCGAGTACTGACGCGAATTTATCGTAATTAAGATTTAAAGTGCACGTAGGGAAAGGAAGGACGCAGGCAGGAGTATCACAAGTAAAAAATACCTCAAGAAAAAGAAATTAGTACAGCGAGCGAACACTCGGCTCGAAATACGTGATGCGATCTGCACAGTGCATACACTCAAAACTTCGCTCCAGAACAAACAGACAAAAAGAAAAAAGAAAAAAAAAAGAAAAAGTTAAACGCGGAAGCTCACAGGACGACACTGACTCGCACCTAAGAGCGGCAGGACGTCTGATGTGACTGGCGTTTTGTCGCATATGATCAGCACGAAGACCATCAACGACAGAAGAATGGTGACCCCTGCAAAAGCGGGTAACGGCTTTCCGTCAAATCACATGACTGCTCGTGCAACTTCGGAAAAAGAAAAAAAAAAGCGCTCGTCGTCTTTGTGGTTTGTGATGACGGGTTAAACGAGTCACGAAAACAGTGAACGCGCCGTGGTCCTTGGCTTTCTTTTGACTAGTTTAGCTGGTCGCAAGCTCTAAATCCTTATTAGTTCAGGCGGTCGCAAGCACTAATTCCTGATTAGTTTAGAAGGTCGCAAGCTCTAATTCCTTATTAGTTTAGCCGGTCGCAAGCACTAATTCATGATTGGTTCAGCCGGTCGCAAGCACTAAGTCCTGATTGGTTTAGCCGGTCGCAAGTACTAATTCCTGCTTGGTTTAGCCGGTCGCAAGGACTAATTCCACAATGGTTTAGCCGGTCACAAGCGCAAATTTTTGATTGGCTTAGCCGGTCGAAAGCACTAATTCCTGATTGGTTTAGCTGGTCGCAACCACACAAAAACGACAAGCGCCGTGAAGGTGCATTTTCGACTCTGCTTGATTGGTTTCAAGTGTTCGTATACCTTCGGCTGCTCTCGACTAGCTTGAAACGGAGTATAGACAGTAATTACTGTGGCGGAACATAATGCAGTAGAACATTCTGCAGGATTAGAGGGACTGTCTCAATCGGCAGCCGTCAAGTTACATTCGTGTACGACGTTTGTATGTTTAAAACAAATTTTCTAACCCACAATGCAAATTTAGGAACGGCCAAGTGTCTAGAAAACCGGACCGTGGCACAAAAGTATTCCTAAAGCGGAATTTCATTTCCCTTTGAGCCTAACCATAAATGTAACCTCCCCGTGGGAATTTTCTGGAGGTAGAATAGTCGGTCGCGTTGCACCTGCGCAACCTCTCACGGGAATCGACGGCCCTCTCGGTGCCCCGCAGGAAAGGGTTGCTACGTCTGAATTCGGCTGTTGTGTGTGTGTGTGTGTGTGTGTGTGTGTGTGTGGTACTGAACGAGACGTAGACATTGAACGATCTCCGTGGGAATGCTCTGACCTCAGAACAGCTATTTCTTGTTTTGCAATGGTTCACCGTACCAGGAACGTTATGATTATTTGTGTTGCAACGTCGGATTTCACAAATTCCTCAGCGTTCGAAAAAATAAATAAATAAATGTATATATCTATATATATATATATATATATATATATATATATATATATATATATATATTGTTAGGAAGAAGAAGTGGTACCGCAGAGTGGCGCGCGCTCGACGAGCATTCAGAGAGCTCGGACTGTTCCCGGAAGAATGTCACCCCTACTATTCATCCTGTATCTAATCATTCCTCATTAAATCACCCTATATTAGAGTTTAAACTACGACGCGCCTAATGTAAGAGCGACGTATTTTTAAATCGCCCAAAGTAGACCGTGGCCTTTTAATACTGCTGAACGAGAAATCGAGACTGGAGTGTTTCCCCCCGAAAAACCTGCCTTTCTAATACTCCTCATTAACATACCATCTAAATAAATAGTACGTCTATTTGGATGCGGTTTCCAAAGTCCAGATCCGTTGGGTTTCAGTCGATCACAAAGAAGACTTGAGACGGACAATTATCATATACTACTTGAAATGACTCTTCTATCGTTTTGTCCTGCTCATGATTACATTTTTACCCTTTATTTCAAATAGGGTTGAATTTCGCATCGGAAGTATCACTTCATCACTGCTTCTGTTTACTCTAAGGGCGTTAGGTTTTTGATACCTCTGTCTTCTTCAGTGAAGGGCGGACTCGGGAACCTTTAAAAACTTACTGAATACCGACAACTTAGGAGTTCTAGGCGTTTGAACAATATAAAAATAAGAACACAATGCATTTCTAAGGGCAAAGCATCCACAGCTACGCAGACATAAAATGGGCTTGTACAACGAAACGCTTCAAACATGAAGAACAAACAGACACCGCCAACATCAAAACTCAAATGAGCCATGAAACAATCATGTCAAAAGTGAAGGCAGCCGGGTAGCACGGTGATAGGACGAGCAGCGAACCCCGAGGAATGGTGGACGAGTCAGTCGGCGCACCTATAATGGACACGGCGTCCGATGTGGGAGGCATGGTCTCGGCAAGCTGCAGCATGAACACCGTCAAGGACAGCAGAATGGTTACACCTGTGCGCGTGTTTGCGGGAGGACACCTCGGGTGAGGACCGATGTCTATGATACGTACCTCACTATCGTCACCACTGAAAGGAATGTCGTGTTAGCACGCGCAAAAAGCACAAACCTCACAGTTCACGGTTGAGGAAATAGTAGCGTAACTACTACCGTAAAATCCCGAATAAGCGCCCACCCATGGTGAAAAAAAAGGGAAAATGTATGAGGAAGGCAAGATTTCGAAAATGGGCGTTCGTTCGGGACCTTAAGCTACTTCAACGATAGCTATATGTTGAAATGCAATCTTTTCTCCCATCTGCATTTTAATTGCTTATTGTATAGACGGAAGTTAGTACCTTCAGCAAGGAGCTTTACCGTAAGTTTGCAAATCAGCGGAAAAAACTAAATATGTCGTAAATGCGCCCCATGTAGCTTTTAAACTAGTTTAGGGCAAACGGAAGCCTACCAATATTTTTGTTACATACAATGTAGGCCTCTTTTGAGCTTCTTTCTGTCAGAGGCGATGGCACTCAGATATTAAACCGGGTGTCTAACCGAACATAGGTCAAATTATTGTTTGGGTGAAAACTACCCATTGCACAGGAATAAGATACGTGCCGTGAGGGTCAATGTCAATAGGGCTGTTTATTGAGGTGCAAAGTGTTTAGGATAACTAAGGTTGTAATCAAATTTCAATGATCAGCGTATTTTTGTTGCCGAAAATGAACATATTGGTTGAATTAGAAACTTAGAAGAATCGTCGAAAGCTGCGAAATCGGTCAAATAAGCAACATTTGTAGCGCCTGCGCTGTGTTTTGAGTTCTTGAAAATGCTTTCAATTTTGATACCCCAGCACGATTTTTTCTGTTTCTCATCACCCGCACGTTCGCTTCGCCACCCTTGCTCCTGCAGCACACACTGCAATTTTTGCTCACCACCACGCCTTCCTTGCCTTTAAAGTATTTCTTAAATTGACTGATTAGGTCGTTTCCGGTGACACTGAGCAAGTTTCTAATTCGTGCCATAGGTTCATATTTACTAACAAAAATATGATAATTACACTTATTAAAGCTGTATGCTGGGCAAGTTGGTATTGGTCTTGGGTTGCCAAAGGCATGGTAGCGTTGTTTTGGACGAGGACAAAAGAAAGAAAGAGAAGACAGACAGCGCTCGTGTCTGTCTTGTCTTTCTTTCTTTTGTCCTCGTCCAATAAAGCGCTACCATGCCTTTGGCAACCCAAGATAATTATACAGTGGTAATTAAAAATTTCATTTGTCTGAATCTCTACGCACCACACTAAACAGTGACTAATAAAACACCAATCGTTTGTCTCTTTTAAGGGTAGTCTTCGCGGGAAAAGTATGACCGATGTTCGCTGAAACACACGGTAAAATAAAAGTGAGAAAAAAAAATAGAATGTAACTTTTCTCGAAAATATTTTTCCTTGCCAGCGTGCCATTAAATATATTTACACGGTAACTGTTAAACCCTAAAGTTTATGTTTAACAAGCTACCACTCGTGATGTCAAAGTGCTCTTCGGTGTCTCCGTGCGCTGCTGTTAATTTCTCTTGGAAGCTTTTAAAATATCGATGGTATGTTATACATATGATTGAGATACTTTTGTTTTCCATAAGAGTAAAAATTTAAAAAAAAGTTATCACAGAATTGTGTTTCTTTTTATTTTAATCAAGCGTGAGTTGACTGTAATGGTTATAACGGCGTTTAGACATCGCTCGTGCCAACACTTATAACATCTTTCTTGAGGATCTTGAGATCTTGAGGAAGTTAAACTAAGAAATCCGTACAGCCTACTTTCTGGGGCTACTTCTTTCAAATAAACATGGGCGTTTTGCGGTTTTACTCCTATAATACGAGGTGTCTGAGACTATCGCGACAATGGCATCACCACGGGAACGCCGAAATTTTGTTTTCACCCGCTTTTGATCTCGTCTATTCCAAATCTTACTCATTAAAATTATATCTCCTCAGGGACCTTGTATCTTGTAGACCAGGGAACGAAAGGTATTAATAGGAGTGGCGTGATAATTGGCGACGAAACACGAGAATTATTCTAGGGATTAAAAGCACCCGAAACGCGATACGTGCCCCGGAAGGCCATTAAATTAACAAAAGCTGCGCTTCACGACCGCGCCCCTTAGCGGATTTTTTCTTTTAAATCATGTATAAATCGTTTTTTAGCCTCCTCATAAAAAAAGAGAAGAAAAAAACAGCTCATGACGCAACCGCATCCTGGACATCCGCCCTCAATGATGTGCCTTTTTAAGCGGCTAATCAATAATCTTATAAATTTGATGCGCGGGGAAAAGAAAAAACGAGAATAGTTCGCGACATTCTCATCGAAGAGACAGAACGCGTCGATATTATAACCCGTAGTACCACTTGTCCACACCTGGATATGCGAAAAGAAAAATACTTAGTCACTGACAGCTTATAAAAAAAGGAAGGGCGCGTCTTCTTATGTTAATCACGCCTCTTGCTTTGTGATTGGTCCGTCGGCGTTCATATTCGGTATAATGCTGCAATCCCATTGGCTGCGAGGTGATAATGAGGTGCATGTGGCTCGCTACTCTTTGTTTTTGTGAGTTTGCTATCCCAGATCAAATAAATCACGTGCAGCAAAAACCGCATGACCCCTCAGCTTTTTTTCTTTGAGCGTGATTGGTTAGGCTGACGTCGCCATGATGGTTCACTTTTGGCGCTGCTTGATTAGCTCTATCGGACGCTAGCATTTGACTGCGGCCGGTCTCTTAATTGAAACGGTATATAAAGACTATAGATATACCTTCGTAAGCATCTCGATCTAGAATCCTACTCTGTTCTCTTTGTTCGTACCCTCATCTTTGGGAGTTTAGCTGTGTGTCGTCGAACTCATTGGCCAGTTTACACGGAATTGCGGGGGGACTCTCTTTTTTTCTTTCGTGTGGCAGGAAGACAACGCCTTGGGCGGTTTATACTCGAGTGCAGCGGCTCCGCCATTCGGCGTTTCTCCAAAACCTCCTAGCGCTCCGAAATCCACGAGTCAGGTGAACGAGAGAGAGTGGTCGATAAACGGAGCTCTGCCGGATCACCTCTCTGCCTTCTTTGTGTGATCTTGGGTTCATTTAGCATTATATAGGAAGCCAGGTCTTTTTGTTGCCTGCTCCACTCCTTTTTTACGACTTCTTCCAGTTCGGACCGACCAGCTGTTGCTACGCTTTTGGGACCGGCCGACAGATTTGGAGACTTGGTCAAGTCTTGATGGCCTTTCGATGTTTGCCGTCAAGCCTTTGTCAGTTGCTGTTTTCTTCTAAGTTTTGTTTTTATTGTTTAGTTTCGGTCCTAGGCTTTGTTAGAGTGACTTTGCGATTGCTCCGACGTGTTGTTTCCCAGATAGATGAATGTTTGGAGTCATCGACATTGGTATTGAAGTCTGATAAAAAGAAAGAAAACGTTTTAAGGTATTTCGTGGGTTATAATCTCACGCTTGAAATTTAATGCTGACTCGTTGGAGTTGTAGCTTGTGGCTGACAGACTTCTCCACGTTACATTTAATATGTATGTATTAAATGCAAAAAAAAATAAAAGAAACTCATATAAATTCTTGTTGGTCAACCGCAATCCCAGAGCACACAATGCGATCCTCGATAACAAAGCAGAGAAACTAAAGTGTTGTTTGTTTGGAGAACGCGAGGTCGGTCTGTGCATGTATGACGACAATGGTCCACGCTGTAGCAAATACAATTAGACAGTGCAGTACGACTGCCTGTCTGGAGTCTTCGGCGTGTACTCATGCATTAGTGATCGGAGCACCGCACGCCGGAACGATTCTCATTAAGATCTAAACGGACAGGGGTGGTGATTGAGCTCAAGATGCCTTGGTCCTGCAGCGTGGGTTTTCGCTCCAAGTACAGCAATCTGCGGTGCGAATACGTTCAGAAACTAAGCTCCCAGATACTATTTTTTTACGATGCTCAAACGTTTTATTAGACGAAATACAACAATTCAACACAAGAAAACTGCGCAATACAATCTAAAGGGAAACAGAAAGGGTACATGTTGCAAAAAGCTTAAAATGTTACGTCGCCAAAATAACAAAGCGGCTGACCAAGGTGCCTGTAGATTCTTCTTCCTCTGACCGTACCGTTCTGTCGTGTACTGTGACGTCGCGTTATCAATTATATCATTATCCCTTTATAATTTTTTTGTATTCGCATTTCTTAGAGTACCACATTTTAACCTAGGAATCTAGGTCTTTGAGTGTTCCCCTGGGAAAGCTTGGAATCCGGATAGAGCTACGATTTTCTTCTAGTCTCAGTTGCAACCCTCGTTTTTATTGTAATCATTTTGTTCTCCGGCGTTCAGGGGTATCGAACTGCGTCGAGATTTCTATGCTTTTGTTGGCTGAGGTATCGATGTTATTTTTCTTTGCACATCGCGAAACACTAAAGTCGCAAAGTCAGGACACAAAAAATAAGTAGAAAAACATCCCTTTTGAAAAAAAAAGGTGAATACGCAACGCGCGTTGTTTCTCCACCAGTTCAAGTCAACTCTAAGCACAAGATATCGAACGCGTTGGTGAAGATCCCCCGGGCGCGGAATGTATTCAGGAAATTTAAAATGCATCTTTACTCCCCCGGCACTTTTTCGCTTAGCTTCGTTACACTTCACGTCTCGTTCGAGCGTTCGTATTGAAGATATGAAAGCTACGCGCCCGTCTTTACTTTTATGCTGCACATTGTGACCTAAAGGGGCGCTGACGGGGAGTGGGCTGGAGCACTTGGTTTCAGCGGATCCTGACTTGCTTTGTATGCACGCGTAACTGTGTTGTTTTAAGCTATGTATATTTGCCGCGCTCTTTGCCTATCGATGCTTTAAAAGGTTCAGCTTTGGTCGTAGATTGGGGAAAGGCTTTCTGGAGCAAGGAAGCTTTTTGAGCGCGCGTGATTTTGATGTGAGCACAAATGCGGCTTCTCTTTCTTTTTCTTTAAAATTACCTCCTCGTTTTTTTTTGTTTTTTTTTTTCTTTTTTTCACAGCCCGAAGTTTTGCGGTTTCATTTTGTCCTTACTAAGAAAGGAACATTTGCTCTTTTTTTGTTTTTATGTCGAATATTGTTTTCATTTAAAACTCGTTAAAATCACAAACGTTTCTTGAGGCAAAAAAATAATAAAAGTGTGGTCGGAAAGTACTGCAGTTCTGTAGCTTCATTTGGTCGCTGGTTTCTCTAAGCACATGCGATTTTATTAGGCACGTAGGACTCATACGTTTTCAATTTAAGTTCCCCCAATCGCTGGCTGAACTTTGTTTTAAGAAGCAGTAAAAGACATTCGAAGAGCAGTTCAATTTGGTCGAAAAACATATACCTCCAAGGCATATTGCTTGGCAGACAAATGTGAAATTTTCTATGAGCAGTATGAGCCTAATTTACAATTTCATATCTTACACTGGGAGATTGTGAAAAAAGGCCCAGGCCGAAGGCCGTTCTGGAAAGAATCGATCTTTCTGATGAAATGTGGTCAGTATTGTTAGTTGATCATATGTAAGTGCCAGTCCATACACACACATCAAGGTCGACTTCACATAAGCAATTTCGTATAAAAGAGAGCTTCGGCCGAGGAAACGGAAGCCTTAAAATTGATAGCGCTCCTTTGATCTACCAGATAAGGTTCCGGTATGTAGGATGTATTGCCGATGTACTATACGCAAATCTGTGCAGTATGGCAACCTAACATCACTGTGTGAAGTGGTGGCGTCACGTGAAGTTACGCTAGGTAACCTGACGTAACGCACTCTTGTAGCGTGACGTGACGTCATTTCATGACTTCGCAGCCCACGGTTACTGCATTTAATAACTCTGTTGCCACTGCGACGTCTTGTGATGTTCCCTGGAGGGTGCAGATCGGCCGCTGCTGTTTCTCTAAGGTATCTAAAGAAACGTAGGCTGGAAGAACCAGATATCCGAGGCTTTTTTACCACCTTTTTACACTAATTAACTGAATTTTTTTTTCTTACAATGATTTTATTTTTGCGTTTTTGTCAAAGAGGCATTGATCCAGTACCCATTTATATTTTACCTTTCGTATATTTTGTTGTTTATGATTATAAGCACGGTTGCCTTTACGAGAATCTGGGGAGCTTAACCGTCAGTGAACCGTTAAACCAGTCGACAACGACAGATTTCCGCTCCCACCAAAAATAGGGGAGCAAGGAAAAGTGGGAACTTACCCAGGGTGAGCCTCTCTCCAGTGTCGGGAGGCAGGGTGAACCCGAGGAGGGTCATGGAGGAGATGAGCACGCAGGGGATGATGAGATTGAAGCCGTAGTACAGAGTCCGCCTCCGGATGTGTATCGTGTACGTGATGTCGATGTACGGCTCCGGACAGCAGGCATACTCTTTCTCGTTACGGATACCCGGCACGGCTGCGGCGTCACGCCGAGGGCCCCCAGGGTGCAGTCGCCAGGGGAGGGGAAGAAAGGGAAGAGGCGAAGAGTAGGAAAAAAAAGGAAGAGAAACGCAATCAGGAACACGAGCCTAGGAGCCCTTCAAAGGGGAGTACAATTGGCAGGATGTTTTCATTGACTCAAGTCGCAGTTCGTTAGTGCCGGAACAGAGTGAGATGAGGGCACCTCTTTATGCTTCTGCTTTATAACTCGGGTTGAGAAAAGGTATGCTCCTCTGCAGGTGTTCGGTTAGGTAGGAAATACGTGGCAGTGCCCTCCACCCCTTCCTTTCTGCTGAGTAAAAATGCAGAAGCTTTTATCAGGTGGTAATCAACGGTGTCGAACACGGTAATAAGAAGAATTTGGGCGAGTAATATTAATTTGGGTGTGGTTGTGACTTTGCCGATGTGATTTTGTATCCAGCCCTTAGGGGGGGGGGGGGGGGGGGGTGCAGTCTCGTGAGAAGTATATAGCTTAAGTGCAAACCCTCTAATATCTTAAAACGCCTTCCAGTCGCTGACTGCGATAAACTTATTCAGACTTTTAGCCAATGTTTGGAAATACGTGAAGTACGTTGCACTTAAAGTAATATTTTAAGTGCGCTTAGAAAAAGAAAACTTGTACTTTTTGTACTTCAATTTTAGTATGTTTACGGTGCTTTTGTTTAAGAAAGCACAACTACCGGCTTCAAAGTAAATTCCCAAACTTTTGTATTGTTTTTGAATCACAGAATGATGCTTTGTGAACAGGTAAGTGCCTCACAAGTTTATTGAGTCCAACTGTTCGTCAACTAGAGCAAAATATCTACACTGTGGCTACTTGATGTTATCTAATATTCGCCATTTCCAAAAATGACTGATTCACCAACGATTAACCGATGAAGGAATGCATACCCGTTTAAAAACAATGCACAGGAAAATGAACGGGCATCATAAAATAATACCGGTAACGAGCTTTCCGTTTTAAGTATTCAGTTAGAGGGAAAAAAATAGGAAGAGAACTAAACACAGATTGTACTAAAAGTTCTTGTAGTCTGGTTTGAAAACACATTGCATATATAGTACTTTACCTAAACTACATCGTGCCGGTTTACTTACTACATTACTTCATGAACTTAGTACTTTAACTCAAGTGCTTTTTAGGTACTTTCCCGAACACTACTTTTAGCGAAACGTCGGATGCTTATATGGTGCTTAGAGGAGATATTGTTTAAATAGAATGCGCTGAGATATAACTATAGATGTCCGTGTTTTGGGACAAATCTGAAACAAAAACTGGAAAAAAACTTTCGCCGGCCACTTTTTTGTCAGTTCATATATACGCAAAACGCTCCGAATTTTGAGGTCAGAAGATTAAAAAACAAAAACAAAAAGACGAGGTTTTGTAAACACACTTCATAGAGCACCGGGTCACAGGTCCTGAGGTCATGCCACTTAAGTTTTCTTTGAAATCTATAACTATTAGCAAAAGGGGTTTGCCTGCTATCACGTCAAGACAACGGGTCATGGTACCCGGATTTTATTTTTCTATTTTCATTTTAAATATAAGAACACAGTAAAATAAACTACTAATTTTAAATAATCGAAAGTCTAGCGAAAACCAGCTTCGATAAACCCCGAAATTTCACCGAAAAATAAACACCGAAATAACACCCTCCAAATTTCACGACAAGCGAACGCCGAAAACACGGAATCCTAAATGAAACCCACTTATCTTGACCCATCGTCAAACGCGATGCAAAAAATATCTGAACGCTTTTCAGTTATACATAGAGATAAAAAAAATGAAAGAAAGCTTTGTTTCACAACTTGTCTAGTGGTCTTTTCTTCGGATATTCTAGTATTTGTTAGACTGATATGTTTTGTAATTTGTCACACTACAGGTAACAAACTACGGGGTGCTGCCACCTTGCGCGAAGTGCTTCTCTTCGCTCGTGTCGTCCTGCTATTTCTCTGGCAAAATTTAGCATGGGGCAAAACTTATAAAGAATGTCAACATTTGAAGCGCCCAGTGTTCTTCTTTTAATTTTTACAGACGTATTTTATTAGTGGTAGGAGTGCACGAACTTCAGCCGCATCACCAGGGCCAGCTTGCTAGAACAGCGTCTCAGCCGAGACGGGGTGAAGAAAGCAATGCAAAGGGTGGGGTGCGCCAGCGTCCTGAGACGCGTTTTGAGTCCCGCTCAGCCCGTCCGCTGGCCTTGGCAGTGCTTTTTTTCCTCAAGTCTCAGCTGAGGCAAGCCGGCACAGGGATCACAAAACATTTTTTTAATCAATGTTTCTGCATTTTCCCACGAATTCTTCCAGTTAAAACATGCTAACTCAAAATAGTAATATAAGTTTCCCACCTGTTAGTAAAATTCGCGTAGAATCTTTATTTAGTGACATTACTCACTAGAACCAACCGTATTTGCACACTTAATCTAAAAGAAATTTGGTTTGTCCGTTATCTTGCAACGTAATGACCCAGGAGCACACCGTGGCCAGGAGATATGTCGATGATATAATTCGTCAAATGTGTTGTTAGCGATTGTTACAATCAGATAATCACGTGGCCCTGTCAGATGGCAGATTTTTGCCGTTGATGTCATGCATGCATTCGAATGAAATCTAATGAGACATTATCAAAACTGGTGTGCTAAACGGCCTGACTTCCTAAAGGTATTGTCACTGTTCTTTGTTTTAGTTTTTTGCTGCCGCGATACTCGGTACCACAAAATTGGTTAAAAAAAGACGTAGTACAAGAGGAGAGCGCGCCAGAAACATGATTTTCGCTCTAAAATTTCGAGAACAACGGCGGATAATTGGCTCACGACGACTGCATCTAATTGTCCCGCGAACAAATAATGAAAATATGTTCCCGCACAAAATGTCGAAATACGCTTCCCTAATTTTGGGCCTTCCGAGGCAAGGCAATCTCAAACGTTCCAAACCGTCGCCATCAATGGCCTAATCTGGTCACAATTACGATTTGGAAGGTAATATGGCAAGCAAGTTTCCCTCCCCCTTGCTCAGGCTTAAGCGAAGAGAAAGTTCATCTGCTTCTTTTGCAGGGGTTGTGGTGACGTCAGAACACCAAGCTCAGATTGGCTGTGATTGAAGGATAGTGGGTAGACCTCAAAGCAAGGTGCCTTGAGGTCTACCCACTGTCTTTCAATCCGAGGGAATTTAGAGCTCGTCGACACACTGACGTCACCACAAACCCTGCAAAAAAAAAAAGCAGACGAACGTGCGCTCCGCATTGTAATTCATGGCACCAAGCTTCAATTGGAGAAAATTGTTGGGTCGACAGAAAGGCTTTCTCCTGTGTCCAAACATCGTTTCCTCCAATCTCAGCGGGAAAAAAAGTGTTTTCTCCTTGTGCAGAGAGTACAGTGGCAAGTTCCGTCGTCGACTGCTGAGTAACTGGCAGTTAAAAAAAAAAAAACGCTTGGGATAGCGAGTTTTGTGCCTTTTATGATCGCTCAGAATTCAGTAAGCTCTTTAGCTTATAAAAAAGCGCTACCAAACCAAGTCCCTCCTTGAGTTTCTTAAGTTTTCAGTGACTATAGTTGCATAAATGGCTCCATTGTCTTTTTTGCGGCTTTCAGAAACCCGTCGTTTTTTTGTGTTTTTGTTTTATTTTTTTTTTACTGACCAGGACTTCACTTTTTAGAGAGCGGAGTTGAAGATAGTTCAAGGGGTACATTGTTATTGTCAACTAACAAGTAACATATGCGCTACGACGAGGGAGAGAAGAACCTCGGCCGGAGTGTCATTGTGTATCATTCAATGAAAAAGAATGTCTTTCCAGGCTGAACTTCTCGTCTTTTAGCCGCGCAATTTCTTTGGCGTGCGGACAGACACCTAGCATTTTTGTACTCCCATTGTTTTGCGCAGAGGGGCACGTCTTAATTGACCTCTTCGATTATTCACGAAATTGGCAGAGGCAAACCTCGAAAAATTTAAAAAGGAAGAAAGAAAATTAATATTCGGTTTGATTGCTGGAATCTTCTGAATTGACTTAAGCTTTTCTACTTGCCACAAGTGGCGAATCATGACTGCAAACAAAAGCTTTCGCAACCTCAGTATCAAGAATACATAAATATCGTTCAAATAAAAAAAACGATAGGAAAGACTTGATTGGATGAGTTTTAGAATTCGCGAAATTAGAAAATAAAGAACTCCCCTAAAAAAACATTAGGCGCCTATATGAAAGTAAGTGGGTCAAAACCGGTAACAGTTTAGCCATACCGGTCACCAGTTTGTCAAAGGGGTCGCCCGTGTGGCTCAAAGGGGTTATGAGCCATAATGTTCACCTATTTGGACAAACTGGTCACTCCTTTGGCAAACGGGTCGCTCGTCTGGGCAAATGGGCGACTCGCTCGGGCGAAGTTGTCGCACGTTTGCTCAAACCGGTGACCATGCATGTTGCACAGACCGGTGACCGGCAAACTGTACCGGTTTTATCAAACGGCTCTCCGGAGCCCGTTTGTTATTGAACGTACAGATCGGCGGCATGGGCACGCCTGTTTCAGCCGTGGCAACCAATCTGTCTGGAACGCTGGGAGCGCCGGTTTATCGATTTCAGATCGTCGGCGTAAGTAATTATATCTATATTAACTGCGCTGATGTTCGCTTAGACTGCAACTAAAACTAACACTTTTTTTTTTTCGTAAACGCGCGACGTTGGTGAGCCGATATTTTTGACAGAACTTTAAAACTTTGTCGATCTTTGTTGCCTCAGTTTACTTATTCAGCTTGAATTTCTCCCGCAGAAGATGCGACTGCGTGAAAGAATGTACTTCTAGACTCCGTTTCACTTCAATTCAAGACGAAGCGAAGGTAGCACGCGAACACGCGGCTGCAAGAACATCGAGCATTGCGAAAGCACGCCCGCCGTTGCAGCAGTCAAACTGCGAGCTCGCGCTGGGTATTTTCTTCACTCGTGCGCAAACCGAGCTTCTGGCCGGTGCCATTTCCAGCGTTCGAGCGTTCTGA